ACTTGTTTTTCACACTTGACCATTCTACAAATTTTCACAAATTTCACTACTAAATTTACAGCTCAAAATTGCAAAATACCATGCCACAGTACTACATTTACACTATTCTGCAAAAACGAAAAGGATACAATATAACAGAAAACTACTCTAGTGAATTACGGCTCAAATAATTTATTTACAAACTACAAAAAGACAGCACTAGATACATACTGACTATCTTAGATTGGTCAAAGCACACTCGTTCATGTTTAATCACAGGGAGTCCAGGCTCACAACAGTCTCCTCGAGGCCAAGTTATTATTGTATCGGAATTGTATCATAAGTTCGAAAATACATGGAAACAAATTCGGCTTCTCAGTAGGTGAGAAACCTGAAAGAAAAAAATAGAAACTTGCCAAAATAGCATTCATAGGGCAGTAGAGTGATTTTACTTAACCCGTGAAATAGGCCGTTGTCTTCTTTTGTTTACCTCTTGCTATTTTGCACTATTTGTTAGCATGTTTCACGATTCAAGTAAAATCACTCTAAACAGAAAGAAAACGTCACAACGACATCTCTTGATAAGGTATGTGCATTAAAATGACTGTTAATGTGCATTTTCACAGATTAATCGAACTCAACATAAATTCCCATGCAAAGCCTTTTTCCTTGGAGGAGTCTGTTGTGAGCATGGGTGCCCTGTGCTTCAATTAACACGATTCAGTTACTACCACAATAGGCGGCGGGACATGTAGTCGCTGTGCCGTTAAGATAATAAACGATGTAAGAACTACAGTTTCTTACTTTTATAAAAGCCGAGGAATGGCAACAGTTCGGCTGCACACCGACAACATCTTTGAAACAGACCTTTCTTGTTACTCTGCCATCGCTCGCTGAAGGATGATCTCCATCTAGCCAACCAGGCTTAACTGTTCCGCAGGCGTCCATGGCAGGACAAGAAGTACGCATTGTTGTTCCTGCGTCGTTCGTGAAACGGTACCAGTTAGGTACAAGTTCATTATCGCATAAAGTCCAAAGTGTCTGTGAATTTCTCCTCGAGTCCGTCAGTTTGAGGTAGTTTTGACATTCTAAAACAGTGTTATCAAGAATGAAAAACGCAAACAAAGGGTATGGTAATGCATGTCAACTCAATGAATTTGAACATAGTTAGTAGAGGAGTTTGGTTATAAAAGCCGGCAAACATCAAAGTTGAAAACAACGGTGCTTTAGTTTATGTTGGAGCTCGGCCTGACCGTGCAAAATCCTTTGTTTTTTAATTGTTCACATTGTGACTGAATAAATTAATGCGATGTTTCTATTGGCCAGTGAGTTCAAAATGATAGGAATTGAACGTTGTGCACGTCAGGTCCAACAAAGCTAACCAAAACCTTCAACAAAAGAGTCTAACGGGTTTCATAACCACTCCACTTCAATAACCACGGTTTGAAACAGTAATGATAATAATAATAACGAAACAATAATTCAAATAGAACAAAATATGTTTAAGAATCCCAACTGGTAGGAGGCGAACCAGTTAGTCTAAGCTGGCCATTTACAAGCGTGGCGGAGGACTTGAACTCGGGACTCGGGACTCGGGACTCGTGACTCGTGAACAAATCCAGCTAGCGGTCAGGGTGGGGCTTGAACTCAGGGCTTCCGGATTACAAGTCCAGCGCTCCAACCGCTCCGCCACGCTGCCTCCACGCTCCTCAACACTGCCTCGTACGTGGAAGGCGCGCTTGGTTTTTTTGTTTTTGTTTTTGTTTTTTGTTTTTTTCGGTAAATTTTTTGTAGAGCGCTCGATTGAGGAGAACACGCGAAGGGGAGAGGAGCCTCCTCTGTTTTTCTCCCCTCGTGAGTGCGCGCGCGTATCCTCGAAATTTCTTCCTTCGCCCTAAGAAAACAGGCTATTCGAAACAAAGGAGCTAATTTTTAAACCAGGGATAAATTTGAACCACAACAGGCGCGGATTTAGGATAAATACTTACCGATTTCCTTCGCGCGTTCTAGAGAAAAGTGGTCTCACCAGCCAAGATTTAGTTAAGATTTATTGCGGCCTCATAACATAAGTACTAGAATATGCTTCTCTTGTATCCGTGTATTTCAGTCCGGTTACGATAATTAACACGTTTCTGGCCAGATTAGTTCAGTTGTAAAACGTTTTTCATTATTTCTCAGGATTTTTAGGGCTGTCAAGCCAGACCAGCCGATTCCTGATGTACAGCAATGACAGGATTTAACCAAAACTCTCGAGAAATGCCTCTATTTCTTTTTCAGAATGACTTTATAGGTCCGGTAGTCCAGTTTTAACGTTTGGTAAGCGGCCTTGAATCGGTTCTAAAACGGCTATCATCTTTCCTTGTTTACGAGGAGAGATATGTATAGCTGGCGGAATTGTTTTTGCGCTTGTGAGAGCTTAGGCGACTTTTGCCGCGAGAAGCGAGCGCCAAAGGGATCTCAAAGCGTCTTCTCCCCATTCTCCATCAAAGCTCCTCTAACTTTGTTAATTCGCACTAACGATCCTGCCGGCTAAGCATGCAGGTTAAAAAATACACCGTGGCACATCAATTCTGTAAGAGGTCTTTCAACTCTTTTCCTGGTTATTGATTTAAACTGAAACACTGAGTCGTGTTTATTGCAACTTTGACTTTGCGCTTATAAGACTGGGACGCGGTTGTGTCGAATTGAACTCTGGGACTGGTTGGGGGGGACGAATTTTTACCCGGGGTGCCTACTATTTACACAAACCACCCGGGATTTCCCATAAAAGAAGCGAAAATGTAGTACAGAACACCGTCCTAGATAAGACTTTAACTTTGAAGTGGCCTATATCAAATGAAATTTATTAACCCACCTTCTGGTCGGCAGTTAAATCCGTCGCCAATATATTCTGGTTTGCAAGTACAATTGTATGAGCCTTCAGTATTTTCACAATTCGCGTCGCTGTGGCATTTGTGAAGGTCCACTTTGCATTCGTTGACATCTGAAAAAAAATTTCCAGCAAAATTTTAAACTAGAATGATCTATTTCCGACGGAGTTACCGTTAGCCTCTTCAAAGTGAGTTCATTGCTGGCCGCCTAAACACGTACGTACGGTTCCACTGACCTCTCTATGGGTTACTGGGTTACCTGTGGACGTCGTTTTCGTCATTTTTCGTTGCGCGTTTTTCACTAAATCGTCGGTTTTCCAAGAAAATCGTTGCATATCAAGAACTATCATGGATGGTTACGCTGCTAGCGAGTTTGTGCAACCACGACATCGTATTAAAGACAAAACAAACGAGAAAATTAAAAAACAACATCACGTTTAATATGCAAAACAAAAATTCTGAAACCGTAGCACACTTCAGTTTTTTAGTAGATTCCTTTGGCTTTAATAATCGCACCTACTAACGCTGTTAAACTTGATTGGAAGAGCAATGCGATCGTCTTTCTAATTTCTAAGATCGTCGATTTATCAACAGCGATCGTCACGACTTCCATTTTATGGGAATTAATACGGATAGAGTAGTCTCCCTCGCAACCGTTTCTGTCAGCGCACGTTGGGAAGGAGCGAAAACCAGCTGCTTGGGAGGCTGCCGACAGTGAGGCACAACAATTTCTACTCACTTTCCGCGTCAAATGCATCGTGGTATTAAGAGCGCTCATGGGGACGCATTACCCACCTTCGCAGTTTGTTGTTCCGTCTCCAGCAAATCCTGGATTACAGTTGCATTTAAAAGATCCTTCTTCATTTTGACACTTTGCGTTTGTATGACAGTTATGAAGACCATCCTCGCACTCGTCTATATCTACAATACAATTCGCCTCTTTAGAAACATGGTAGTTTCATCATATCAGTTTCAAAACTATTAACGCTGATCTTGAATGTAAACACGGCTAGCATACACTGAAACAGCTTTCCGGTACCGAAAAGTTACTAACCGCGGACTTTCGAGAAACGGGCGCCCGGTGGCTTCTTGGGGAAATGAGGATGAATTGGAAGTAAAAGAAATAAGGGTCGAAAAAGGGTAGGAAACATGCGTTCCGATACGCCCACACAATTTAAGACCAACATCTTGAATTTTCTCTTCCCTTTTTCAGTTGTCTGCACCTGAACCGCTGTCCCTAGTTCTAGAGAGAAGAAAAGATTTTTACTAATTATTCAAACCCAAACGGTTAAAAAACTACACCCAATTTCAGACCAAAAAGGCTAAAAAAATTAACGATACCCTTATTGCCCTCACATGTCTGTGCAGCTCATATAAATGAGAAGCCCTCTGGCATCACAGGCAGCCCAAACGTACTGTATGTCAATACCGGTTTATTGTGAATAACTAATTAATAAATTAATACTTCTAGTGTGTTACTAACTCTGAGTACAAACTGTAAAAAAACGCGACCAAAAGCCACTTAAACTGACCAGAAAAAGCAAGGAAACGTTTGGTTAAAGCATAGTTAATTTAAGTCGAATGGTTGGAAAAGCCTTTGTTATATGTTTTTGTTAGCTTTTTGGACCTGACATTGCACAACGTTCAATAGCATTCCCATCATTTTGAACTTACTGACCAATAGAGACATCGCATTAATTTATTCAGTCATAATTTGTGAACAAAAAACAAAGGATTGTGCACGATCAGGGAGCTTCCAACAAAAACTGCAGCACCATTGTTTTCAACTTTGATGTTTGCCGGGTTTCCTAACCAGTCTCCTCTACTGACTATGGTTAAAGGTACAAAGGACCGGTCATTATTTATCTCCCGGGGGGGGGATTTTGGGAGGGATCACTTGATTTTTAGGAAAACAAAAGGGGGGATCAATCGTAACTGAGAACCCAAAAGGGGGGATAATTGAAAACTTTGGAGGGATTCAGAGGGGGGACCACTCAAATTCGCTTGGAAAATGAAGACATGAGGAGGGGGGGATCGCGAAAGTCATCAAATGTTATTAGGGGGGATCACTTCAGTGAAGTAACATTCAAAGGGGGATCGGCTAAATTTCACCTTGTTTAGCCCCAAATCCTTCTTAATAAAGCATAGATTATCTACAGCTGTGCGTATACCTTTGTCGCATTGATCTCCAGTCCACCCCGGTGAGTTGCACCTACACATGAAAGACTCGCAACTGTTTGTGCATGTTGCATTTTTCGGACAGTGGTGGTTTTTACAATAGTCGGCGACTGCAAAGCAGAAACAATGATCCATAGTTAATAGTTAGTATGGTGCATCCTTTAGAACTATGACCAATTCTCAATGTACGTATGGGGGGCTCAGGTAAGACATTACGCAGTTGAATGAGAAATTTTCTGTTTGCTCTTATCGACTGCAGTAAATTTGTGGATTTACCACATGTTTCATTTCGCACAAGCGTAAACCCCTTGGATTTTTTTGCAGTATAGAGCGACACCTCTGCGGGTAAGAAAAAGCCGTAACGTACACTAAGACAGACACCTTCGGCATTCATACATGGGGGCTCTCCCATTCCCCCCCTCCCCCTCCCCCTCCCCCTCCCCCACAATATTGCAGACAACCATGTAATTTTGGTAATGCATGCGATATGCATGCTAAATCATATTTGAAGTACTTTACTTAAGGTGTTTTACCGCCCCACAGACGGTAAGGACACCAGTGCAGTTACCAGAACGACCTACTTGGCGTTGACGTGTTTATGTCACAATGTACAATATGTGAGGTCCCAGATCCCCCTGGATCCAACCAGTATTCACCACTGACCGCATGTTCTCCTTCACTTGCTTTGATCTCTGCGCACGATTCAGCAGAAAGCTCGGGAATGGAACCTAGGCGCCCTGGAGATAAAACAAACCACAGCTAAATTAAATTCATGTTCAATTTTGTGCGCTTTTTTGCTATTTCTGGGCAATTTATACCGTTTTCAGCATTTATACTGCTTTTATTTCCCTTTGCCTCAATATTTTTTAAAGTTTTGAGTTCTTTGATTGAGGTTTTCTTTACTATCTAACTTGAATTTCCGAAGATTTACCGACGACTGGTGATTGATACAATAAATAACTGAATTATCTTGACCATTCCGAACATTGACAAAGATGTTCCAACGACTGCCAATGCGAATGCGAGATTCAGTTCTCTGCTTCTTCCATATTAGTTACATGAACGCGTGGTTTTAAAAATAAATGTATTTCGGTTTGAATTTCCCTACCTCTGTATGGGGCTTTTGTTACGTAATATCTGTCACTACTCTTGATAAAATCGTCTGGCCTGGCCTCTTTGGTTCTGGTATTCAACTCACATATGTCTTGGAACATGACGTAGTTATAGCTCTGGCATCTGACATCAGAGTCACAGGCCTGTTTACAGTCAAGTGAGCCTGGCCTGGCCTTGATTCTCATGTAGGTGTGTCCTTTGAGCATCATTTGATAAATGGAGTAACTGTTTGTACCACAATGCTGAGCAACACGTTTGTGGAACATCAGAAAACTTATAAACAGAACGAAAACAGGTTGACCAGCCATTGATGTTGAAGGCTTGCACTGAGCTACTTGGGTCTTCTTCAGCTTAGATTGAATCAAAACGCAATAAGCTGTCGTTCAAAAAGAGAGGCATATCAAACTGATAAATTCTGCTTTCAACTTTATGAGTACTTTCCCAAGACTTTTAAAATCTACTTAAGTGAGCATGTCTGTACCGTAGTCAACCTGGCGTAAGTAACCAACTCATGCAACGTAAAGGAGTGTGTAAGGTAAATCTACATAATAGAACTAAGCAAGGAAAGCAACACTTTGCCATGCTGCGGTGGATTAAAAAAAGAAACTTACAAAAGATCTCTTACGGTTTTCCACATTATACCTACATGATATTTTGAACTAATGCCCATACGGAAAGGGAGACTGATTTTTAGCCCGGCCACAAATTGCCGGGACGATAACTGCACGAGATTCTAGTTACAAGTGCAAATCTGTAGAATGTCGCCCACTCAGTTTAACGCCTTTATTCAACAAACAAACAAAAAAAAAGAATTATCTCAATGAAGTGCCATGTGAACAAGTAGGACTTCTAATGACCTTCCAAATCAAAGGCCAAATTAATTAAACGTTATCACCCGGTTATGCAGCTGTTCAATGTAATTTAAGCCCATATTCACACTATAGTATGGACACCTATACGATATGTAGCTTTCCACTTTAGAGATCGGTACCGCTCCGCTACAGAAATTTCGCCGAAATAACCGTCCCCTATCCGATTTGGTTTTCGTACCGGCGCAAAAGCTATCGAGTATGGTGGTAACATAGTCTAAGGAAAAACCGCAATTGAGTTTGATGAGAAATTCTTTTAAAAAAAACATAACAATAAAACCATTGTCAAACTGATGATGAAGAAACAAATGACCAGTACTTTGTTCATTAACTGAAAAAGCAGCTTTCTGTTGCTGAGATTCACAGTGTTTCCTTTGAGCAATATCTTACGCGATTAGCGATTTTTTTCTCTAAAGCATCGCTATCATGATTTGCAAGCTAGAAATATGTTTATCTTCAACAAAACTGACTTAATTGCGAAGAGTTGAGATGAAAATTTGTCAGTATTGTCCACTTGGATGTAAACCATTTCATTGGGTATAAATTTTCCTACGACTTAGTAACTTGGTGCTTAGGAGCAATTTTGAAACGGACAGGTGGTCAGATCGGAACATTTTTAAGTCTATCTTCAAATGTCCTTGGCTTAAACCTGCGATTAGGCTCTAACTTCGTTTTTGCTTGGTCGTAAAAACGCATAGGAGTTGTGAGGCTTCCGATCAGATCTCATCTTCGTTTTGAATTCAACCACCGATGGCAGGTTCTGGAACTCACGGCGTAAAAGAAAGCAAATAAAGGACACAGTGATTAGGGAGCTCTAGCAAGGACAACGGCGACGGCTGCAGCGAGAACGTCATAAAAGCAATAGGTTAATCAAAACAACAACTTTGCACGTGCTGCGCAATTTTTTGTCCATTTCTTTGCCGTAACTACATGACTTCGTAAAATTCCCTCAAGGGACGTTTTATGGAGGATGTAAACACAATGCCACCAACTTTTCTTTCTCCTTCTATACTTGGGTTCGGTCTTCAAGAATTCATTTTCCAGGAAAAATTAAATTACAGTTGACATTTTAAGCGAACCGGAATAATCGCGACAAAGTTTGAAAAAAAGCGAAGTCTTTTTAATAGTAACGTTTTCGCTGTCAAACTTTACAGCTAGTGTTGGAGCCTGCAACTTGGTATCGCATGTTGTGGTCAATTGACAGCTGTCAAAACAGGGTATCCGCTGACAGGGTATACATACATACATACATACATGTTTATTCAAACTCATAATGACCACATGAATTTGAAAGGGAGAGTCTAGAGGTTAACCCTATGAATAAAACTCTCCTAAAAACAACACACAATAAAAATTACAATAAAAATTACAATAAAAATTACAACTTTAAAAAGGATTTGAGTTTACATTTAAAAAGTTCAAGGGAACCGGCTTCAACAACATTACTAGGTAAATTGTTCCAGTAACTAATTACATTGTTAAAAAAAATATTTAAAACAGTTGATTCTAGATAATTTACAATAAAGCTTATACGAGTGATTTGCCCTAGTGGATTTGACTTTTGCGAATTGAAAGAATTCCTCAAAATCCAAGTGTGATAAGCCAAACACGATCTTATAACATTCAACAAGAGAGGAATATGTCCTACGACTGGACAAAGATGGCCAATGTAACGAGTCACAACGCTCTTCATAAGACATATCACCTCTTTTTTGCCTAAGAGCTAATCTTGACGCGCGTCTTTGCACGCTCTCTATTGCATGAATATCTTTGACAAGATATGGGTTCCAGACTGGAGCAGCATACTCTAGAAGTGGTCTGACCAATGTTTTGTAAAGCAATGAAAAAGTTGTTGTATTAGCTGTTCCAACAGACCGTCTTATTAGCCCTAGGACTTGGTTCGCCTTATTCACCATGGTACTAATATGTTCACTCCAAGTAAGATCTTTTGATATAATAATTCCAAGATCTTTAAAGCTCTTGACATCTTTTAAGGCCGTACCTAGTTTATAATTCGTAGTCGATTTGTCACGAGAATGCGTTATTCGCATTGCTTCACACTTTTCCTCATTGAAACGAAGTTGCCATTTTTTCGCCCATTTACCAAGATTATTCAAATCAGTTTGAAGGTATTGTTCATCGAGACTAGGGTTGCGAAGCTCTCTGTAAATCTTAGTGTCATCCGCAAATAATTTAATTTTTGAAGAGACACTATCAACGATATCATTTATATATGATAGGAATAAAATTGGACCAAGAATAGTTCCTGTGGGGTACCAGATATCACAGGTGCCCAATCAGAAAAAGTCCCTCTTACAACAACTCGTTGCTTTCTACACGTGAGGAAATGCCTCAACCAGTTAAGAAGTTTACTCTCAATACCGAGGCTATATAACTTTATGAGTAGACGCTCATGAGGAACACTATCAAAAGCCTTTGCGAGATCAAGAAATACAACATCTGTTGCTACAGATGAATTCCTAGATTTGGCGAAGTCATGAAAAGTAGAGAGTAATTGGGTCACAGTAGACCTACCCTGCAAAAAACCAAATTGGTTTTGTTTTATCACGTTATGGTCTTGCCAAAATGACGTTAACCTATCGCGTACGATTTTTTTCGCTGATTTTGCATATCATGGATGTAAGCGAAATTGGACGATAATTCTCCCTCAAGTGTTTAGAACCTTTCTTATGAAGTGGGACAATGTCAGCTGATCTCCAATCTTCGGGCAAATGGCCCAGCAGGAAAGATTTGTTAACCAGAAATGAGATCGAGGGCGCCAATTCGAACGCACATGATTTTAAAATTACTGGTGAAATTCTGTCTGGACCCGGGGACTTGTTCGTTTTAAGAGACTTAAGATGCTTTAAAATTTCCTCAGTAGTACAGGAAATATAATTAAGTTTCTCACAAACTAAAGGCTCTAAAGAAGGCAAGTTGGTGAAGTCCTCGGAGGTAAAAACAGATGAAAAATAGGAATTAAAACTACTAGCAATACTCTCATCGTCAATCAGTTCTTTGTCACCAACCTTTAAAGATACCAGAGTGTTCGTACCGTTACGTTTGCTTTTAATATAATTCCAGAAAGGCTTGGAATTACCAGAAACTGCAATATCAGAGGCCATATTGTTGATATACGTCCATCGAGCTAAGTTACATTCTCTTTTCACGACATTGTTCAGTTTTCTGTACTTCTCCCAAAGGGCTGGATTGCTGCTTTTTCGCGCTTTGTTATACAACAATTTCTTTTTTCTGCACAACCTAATAAGATCCTTTGTTATCCAAGGTGCATTACATTTTTTCTTGCCCCGGCGCACGGGTATGCATTCATCCATAGCCGTAAATAAAAGATCTTTCCAGCAAGACCAGTTGTATTCAATGTCATCATCGAAAAAAGCACAGTTCCAAGGAATGCAAGCCAATAACATCTTTAGGTGTGCCCAGTCAGTTTTGCCATATGAATAGAAACATTTCCGAGATTTACGCTGGGTGTAGGGTGATCTTAAGATCTCAAAACTAAGAGAGTTATGGTCGGAGAAGCAATCGCCAACAACAAGACGATCAATGATATCTGGCGAGGATGTGATTAACAAGTCTAGAATATTTTGGTTCCTTGTAGGCTCACTGACCAGCTGTGTTAAGAAATTGTCCTGAATTATATCAATTAAAAGGGCGTGATTGTGAGATTGTTGTAAAGCTCTATTACATGACCACTCGATCTCCGGCAAGTTAAAATCTCCAACCAGAATTAAATCCGCGGTTGAATCAAGTCCTTGAATAAAGGTCTGAAGGTCTTCCAAAGGCTTAATATCACTTCCCGGGGGTCGATAAAACACGCCGATAGTTATCCGTCGGTTGTAAGATAAGAGCACATCAATAAAAAGCATTTCAGAGTCGCACGGATGAGTCGGACGAAGAGAAACAGTAATGTAATCACGTACCGCAATGAGTACACCACCGCCATGACGGCCATTAATCTTACGATCTTTTCTAAAAACAGTATAGTGAGAGGGAAAAATCTCGGAGTCAAGAATCGAATGGTCCAAATGCGTTTCAGTTAGTACAATTAGATCGTAGGTATCACATGACCATGTTGCGGGCTCAGGTGTCGACCCATGTTACGTGCTCTTAAAGTTCTCCGCTGACAAGTTACTAGTTTTCAATTGTTTGCGCACGTTGTTCATCCTCGCCGCCAAAAAAATAAAAGAGTCGTCGATTTTTCTATACACTCTCCTTTTTGGAACGTTTTAAATACAGTCGTAACGTTTGTAAGTTGTAGTTTAAGTCTAGCGCAAATTGGACCTTTCTATTTACTACCCACACTCCCCCCTCCCAATTCGAAGGTGTCTCTTATGAACCCTTCAGAAATCATTTTTACCCAGGAACCCCTGAAAATAACTACAAAACGAAGACCCTATCAATAACATGTCCTGAAAATAACTACAAAACGAAGACCCTATCAATAACGTGCCCTGGAAATA